AATATGATCTCTCCTTCCAACTCTCATTAAAACTCTAGCAGCAGCATTTTGGATGCTAACCACTGAGCTGTTGGCACGATGACAATGACGTTTGGAGTCAACCCCATTCAGATGGCAGCTACAGCAAAGCAACGTCAAACACAAAATTGGCTAAAGTTTAGTAGTATTTGCAGAAATTGAGCTCAGGGCTCTTAGAATTCCAGCTTCCTGCTGGGAGGAGTGGGCAGGAAGGGCAGGTGAATTGGGCCGGCCRGGCCAGAGGTTTAACAGACATTTCTCTGGACCTTTCAGAGGTACAGCTTCCACTTTACACACACTAGACAGGCCATCTTGGTCAGATCAGGTGGATGCTAACGTTAGCTGAACAGTAGTACTTTAAATGGAATAAATGACTTGTAGCTGACTCAGCTGCTGACCTGTTGTTGATCCTGTGTTGTTTCTGTGTGCTCAGGACTCTAGAGGAGCGAGCMCAGAGGTTGTTCAGCACTAAAGGTAAATCCCTGGAATCACTTGACCCGTCTCTGTTTGCCAAGAACCCCAAAGCCAAAGGCCCCAAAAAGTGAGTCCTACATTTCATAAACTCATTAAGGTAACATAAGGTGTTTTTCCACTGCTCACTTCTCATTGGATCAGTTCTACTCAGGTGTAGGTGATTTAACACTACAACTGTGTCCCCACTCTGTGGGCAGCATCTTCAGAGTAAAGTAGGTGGTAACGTTTAAATGTGGGTGGTATAACTAACATGGAGGGCTAAAGCTAACTATTGATATAAAAAAGTCTGTTGTTCTGTAAGTAATACTCACACCCTGCTAAAGCAAACAATAAATTAACTTAGTGCACACTTGTGTACAAATTTATCTCAATGAAAAACAAACAGCAATCCTGATAGTGTCTTTTATTGCACAAAATAAAAGTCAGAAAATATATACCCACTTAAAACAAAACCACAATCACCTAAAAAAACTACTTTAAGTCCAGTTGTAATGGAAGCAGCTCCTCTGTCCTGTAGCTGCCCGACCTGGATGGCGAGGCAGCCGMTACCGATGTCAGAAGTGTCCCGGGAACTCAGCTGGCGCTTGTTGAAGGTGACTCTGAACAAAAAGACCACGATTAGCCTTGATAATGATAAACAATAATTTTTAAATTCAATAAATGTAGAGCAGAGGGTCTTTGTTTTTTTAGCCTGGATCGCTAACTAGCCATCTAGCTACGGGCTGGGTAAAAAAATTGATTTATCGGTAATCGATCTTGGATCGATATCATTTAAATTTGGGAAAATCGATTCACAGGACATGAGATCAATTCTTCCCCATGCCGTATTGTACGTGCGTCTGTGATGTTTTGTCACTCTGGCTTGCCGTATATTTACATRWGGTTGACGRTCATTGCTAACATTAGCTTTCAGCAACATGTCTGGATGAAAACAAAAGAAACTAAGGAATCACTAACATTATCAGCCGACTCTCTGCAGAACGTAAAGATAACAGAGACCACAGTGACTTTTGTTTACAAAGYTTTGTGCTCCTACGTTGTAGCGAAAGCGAAACAAAAACACATCGAAAAAGCGCTAAAAGAATGTCGATAACCAACCTGGGCTATAAGAAAAGYAAAGYAACAGGTGGAACAAAGAAGAACCAAACCAAAGAAAAAATACACATCAGAAAGAACAGAAAACCAAGGAATGGTCATGCTACCATATATCAGAGGAATCACGGAACGRATCCAAAGGACTTTTAAAAAACACCACATTAGTTCTGCCATCAAACCACAGAAAACTAAGACAAATGCTCGTACWTCCTAAAGACCAAATAGAACAAGATAGAAAATGTAATATCATATATGAAATACCATGCCATACCTGCAATAAAACATATATAGGAGAAACAGGACGATCCTTGGCTACAAGGAAGAAAGAACATCAAAAAGAATGTGAGAAAGAAGCAGAAGAAAGACTAACACGATCCAAAAAAGAACAAGCTCTACAAGAAAATTACAAATCAGCCATCACGGACCACTGCAAAAGGGAAAATCATGTTATGGATTGGGAAAGAACCAGAATCATCCGCAGAGAGGACAACAAATATCAGCGTTGGATCATGGAGGTGATGGGGATCAGAAAGCGAGCCCACACAGTTATGAACCGGGATGAGGGGGCCTACAAGTTCTCACATACCTGGAGGATGTCACTCCAYCGGTGAAGCCAGCAGGGGGCGCTGTCGGCTTGTCAGTATATTTAGATAAGCCGGCACCGCCTCCAATCAACATCAGCTGTGACACCTCTGATGAAGACAGAAGTACACGTCGAAACATGTCAGGTATGTCTGTACAGACATAAAAAAAATTAAAAAAGTGTAGTAATTAGGAACACGTAGTAGAGCGAAAACAAAGCAGGGTTTGACGAGCAGCTGTCATTCAGGCWCTCGAACCAAACTACTGTATGTAAACATCTGACTGAACTGTTCTCCACCGGCGTGTATTCTAACAAAATCATTTAGGTTTGTTACCAATATTATTATTTTTAAACTTTAAGAAACGTCTTAATGAAATCCAGTGAAGAAATTTTGTAGTTGTTTTACTAAGTTATATGTATTAAAATAAGWTTTATTGAACATAACAACAGAAGGAAGGTAACAGAAACATTACAAATATACAGTTTTAAGATAAAATAAGATAAAACCTTTCTTGTCGTTGGACAGAGCACTATGAAATTACAGCTCAGAACACCCATTCACAATTCTTCATACACTCAAAAGGAGTGGGCAGAAATATATTTATATAAGCCCACCTCTTCTCCTGCAACCTTATTCACATCACTTCTTATTTATCAAAATAGTTATTAATTACTTAAAAATGAATNCATCCAACAAAACTGTCACCTGCATCTGCTATTTACTTTAAAACCTTTTATACTTGTGACAGTTTTCTTTCAACATTAAACAGTTTAATTTAAAAGTTTGTCCTTAAAACTTGTTTTTTAAAGAGAAACAAATGATGAACAACACAGTTGCAAAATACATTATCAATATCGATAAACATTTTCATTGAATCGAATTGTGATTAATCGATTCTTAACTTAATGAATCGAAATCGAATCGATTTAGAGGATTGGCCATGATACCCAGCCCTATTCTAGCTGCTAGCAAGCTAGCTGCTAACTAATTAGCATTGGAATCAAACGTACAAAGGACATTGGTACAAACCTTTTAAAGAAAAATACAATTTCACAAGCGAGAGGTGTGTCCCACAAATTACATTGAATATCTCACAAAATGCATGAAGCAGTCACCGTCTTCAGATGTTTCTGAAGTTTGTAAAGAGTCCCAGTAGTTAGCAGCAGACAGAACAGTGGCTGTTGATTGCCTCCATTTACTCAAATCGGCTCCAGTTCCACTGGTTTGAGCCAATCCGTCTGTTTTGGTCCTTCACTGCTCTAAAATTTGTCTAGAGTTTCTCCCAGCTCTTCACCATCGTTTGGAAAATCCCTGTAATTTTTCGCTCTGACTGCTCGTGCATCTGTTAATACATTACATCATCCAGGGCAGTTCTTGTAGCTCCACTGGCCAATCAGCGACTGTTACCCACTTCGGCACCCCACACCTCAAACAGTGCACTGTACTACTATCTCCCAGGAGGTTCCACAAACTGGGCCAAAAAGGGGTGGGATACGACAGTGAAAAGACCAAAAACTGGTGTGGAGCCGAAGAGAACCAAGCCTGTGGAAAAACACCTTTTGAGACTAATAATTTCCTACAATCGTGCATTTTTTTTATCTTTAACATGTTTATTCCTAAATGCAGAGACACAGAGCGAAACAAGGAGATTGGCTTCCTGGAAGCTCAGGTGTATGAGTACGTGGAGATCCTGGGGGTGAGTGTTCCTCTGTTGGAAGGATGCAGTCTGGAGTGTGATGGTCTTAATGACTCCTAATGTGAATTTTGTGGCTGAGTTTAGGAACAAAGGCAGCTGACTCACGAGAACGTTCAGAGGAAACAGGCGAGAACAGGCGAGGAGCGTGAGGAGGAGGAGGAAGAGCAGCTCAGCGAGAGTGAGAGCGAAGACGAAGACAACGAAATCATCTACAACCCCAAGAACCTGCCGCTGGGCTGGGACGGAAAGGTGAGGCTCCTCCTCCCAGTCAAACCAGCCAGAGACTCTGGAACAAGAGGAAGATGATGGATGGATCTTATCACCAATTTTTTTGAATATAATCAGAATTCAAGCAAGAAGATTATGAAAGACACGAGTTTTAGTCTCATCCAAAGACACTGAAAAGCCCCACACCAGCTTGTCTCTAACAGTTGCAGTCCAGTTTGACATTTATCAAACAGAAAATAGGTGTATCTGTGAGTTTAACAAATGTTGAGCTGAAGTCCGTAGCTGAGAGTCATTAACACAGAGTGTTGACAACATTTCAGTGATTCTATTCATATTTTGAGTGTTTTTGTTCCTCCAGCCGATCCCTTACTGGCTCTATAAACTCCATGGTCTGAACATCAACTACAACTGTGAGATCTGTGGAAACTACACATACAGAGGGCCCAAAGCCTTCCAGAGACACTTTGCGGTACGTGAACATTTTTATCACAGACTTCCTATTCAAAAGAACAAATTTCATTTTCTCTTTTTAATCACCTGTCATGTTTTACGTTTTTGTTTTTTGTTTTGTAGGAGTGGAGACATGCTCATGGTATGCGTTGTTTAGGAATCCCCAACACTGCACATTTTGCTAACGTCACGCAGATCGAAGATGCAGTCTCTTGTAAGTTCTGTCTCCAAGATTTCTTTAATATACTTTGACATAAGTGRTTTGGTGGTCAGTTTTCTGAAGTTAAGTGTTTTAATTCCAGTGTGGGCAAAGCTGAAATCCCAGAAGGCACTGGAGCGGTGGCAGCCTGACACAGAAGTAAGTAAATATCCAAACCAAACCGTTCAGGACTTGATGGTCCCAGATCTGATCCCTTTAACTGTATACATTCAGGAGGAGTATGAAGACTCCATTGGAAACGTGGTGAACAAGAAGACCTACGAGGATCTGAAGCGACAGGGTCTGCTGTAGGTGGACAGAGGGTTTGGTTTCTGGAGCTTCCTGTCAGATGCATTTTTTTATTTCCTTGTGTCTACTTATGTGTTACTAATGTTCAATAAATGGAGTACTTTAGATCCTGTGGTGTTTGTCATATTTAATAGTTTTTTTGGTGGTAAACTCGGGTCAGAAGCCTCCTTTAGTTTCAGGGAAATACAGAAACACTAGAAAAACCAAGGAAGAATAAACACATGACAAATCCCACCAGAAAATACAAGCTGTTGTAAATAATTAAACTTTAACTTGTCAATGATTTAAAAACACCTCATCATTGGAGAGGTGATCCAATAGATTTAAACTGAGAACAAGAAAATGTTCAATACTTGACATTACCTGTTATAAAACACGTTTCAAATAAAAGCGTTARATATCTGGACCTGCTTTGTGCCAAAACGTTTCTCTAACAGCCGAGCCTGTTACTGAAATAACAGTATTACCAAAAATGGAATAAATACAAATCTAGAGGGAAGTACACATTTTGGCAACATTTGGCAAATGTTTATGTTAAATAAATCTATGTATAAATTAACACAAAACAGATAAATAATCATGAAAGATGAGCTACCCCCGCTCCRTCTTCAACATTAGTGATGAACAAAAGACCCCTGAAGTGAAATGACATCGGACCACTACACAGAAGTCATTTAGATTACATTTATTTATAAAAATATATATAAAGCAAAATATTACACAAGTTCATAAAGAACTAGCAGCATATTTCACATTATTTATTCCTTTTATCTGATTTTACCATCTTGAAACTTTTTCTGTTTATGGATTTTTATAAATCTGGTTTCAAGTTCAGTTTATATAGCCCCAAGTCACAACATACGTTGTGTCAGGACACTACATGAAAATAATAATCTAAAGAAGAAAGCAGCAGATTGTGTTGAATCACTTCATCACAGTCTCCCATCCTGAGCAAACGGTGGAGAGGAAAAACTCCCTGCTAATCAGGAAGAAACCTCCAGCAGAACCAGGCTCAGGACAGGAGACCATCTGCCTCGACCGGCTGGTTGGAGGACAGGAAAGAGACACAAACACAGAAGGACTGGTCCAGGTGCACCTTCTTCTGGAAGAGACAAAGAAAAAACATGTTATTAATAGAAATAATTACAATAAACATGTAGAGGAGAGAGACTAAAGACAACAGCCGAGTGAGGAAATGTGCTCAGTTTGTGCTCCAGCAGTCTAAGTCTACAGCAGCAGAAATGAAGAATAATTCAGGAAACCTAAGTCTAACTATAGGATTTCTGAAAAAGGAAAGTCTTCAGTCTAATCTTAAAAGTAGACAGAGTGTCAGCCTCACGGACAGAAACTGGAAGTTGGTTCCACAAGAGAGGAGCTTGATAACTGAAAGCTCTGCCTCCCATTCTACTTTTAGAAACTCCAGGAACCACAAGTAAACCTGCAGTCTGACAGTGAAGTGCTCTGTTAGGAAAGGATGGAACAATAAGATGTTTAATATATGATGGAGCTTGGTTGTTAAGAGCTTTGTATGTTAGGAGTAATATTTTAAATTCTATTCTYAATTTGACAGGGAGCCAGTGGAGAGAAGCTAAAACTGGAGAAATATGATCTCTCCTTCCAACTCTCATTAAAACTCTAGCAGCAGCATTTTGGATTAACTGAAGACTTCTTAAAGAGTTTTTTAGACTCTAAATTAATATTAATGATAATAAATCACTCCTGTTGGTGTCTCAAGTGTCAGAAAATGTTTTTATTTGCTTTCAGAAAAGTAGAGAAATTCCCATTGTTTGTAAAGATTGTATTTAAGGTTTGATTCAGAAAAACAAGAACATCATTAATCTGTCAGAGTTATTATACAAAAATAAAAGCAGTAAAATTTGCTTTATTTCTATAACAAATGTTCTGATATCAAAAATCTGAGCTGATTTCCATAAAGAGACAGTTTTAACTTAAGAGATTAATTGTTTTTATTAAAACAGTTAATCCAATATTTAGGAATAAAAACCAAAATTAAATTATTTCTAAAAACACTTGAATGTTTCACAGATGATCCTGTTGTAACTGAAGAATCTAAATGTAAAGTTTTGGTTTCGCTCCTCCTGGATCCTGGATCGGTTTCAGATCTGAACTCAAACACAGGAACCAGTTTCTGCTGATTTCTCACACAGACTTTTCTGAGGATCATCACAGGATCTGTTGAACCAGATCTTTATGTTATCAGTTCTTCTCTTCCCCATCATCACACACCTGCTCCTGGGTTCTCCTCTGCTTTGTTGGACTCTTTTTCTGCCCCAAAACTCAAACTAGGAAACAAAGAACGAGTAATCAAAACCTGACTTCAGTGCTGGTTTTTAATACAAGAGTTTTGCTGACAGTCAAAGTTTTCATCCAGAGGAGATCCGTCCACCCAGAACTATCTGCCTCCTGTCTCTGAGTCTGTCAGTTTGGCGCCACCTGCTGGTCAGAACTCCACCTTCAGGTTGAAACAGAACAAGGTGGAAGAAGTGACAGGTGAGCTCCTCACCTGCGGAGCTGCAGCTGCTGCACACGTTTAAACTAAAACTTCAAAGCTACAGAAGAAATAAAAGGTCCTGCTCAGAGAAGACAGGAGATTTTCAGTCACATAAAACTTGAGTCAAAACTTTAGAAAATCCTAAAATTCTACATAAAGCCTGAAATCATGGACAACAAACAGCATGTTGTTCACATCAGTACAAAACCAGGAGGCAGAATGCTTCARTTATAATTCAAATAAAAGCACAGACTCACTTTCAAAGCCTTTGGTTGACAGTATGTTTCTGTGTCAGAATCAGAGCTGTTAGTTCATCAGACGACAGATTTGTGCAAGTCTGACCTGCAACACAAGAAGAATGAGTTTATACTGAAGGTTTTCCCTCCGTTTACACATGATTTGAACTGAACTACGCTCTTACTGAGCTGCTCTGAATCATCACTGATAAACCACACAGATTGTGTAGAAGTGTCTGTTCTTTAGAGCAGTGTTTCCCAAAGTTGGGGTRGGGACCCAAAGTGGGGTCCCGAAACATCAAGGTGGGGTCCTGAAAAGATTTTCTGAATTAATTACATTTTTGCCTTAGTTGTTACAAATGAGTGAGAAGGGAGGCCATAAAAAAAACAAACAAAAAAAAACAAAAACAAAAACAAAACAAATGAGTGAGGTTAGTATATTTAAAATGGATAAATGTAGTATAAAAACCATTGTTACTATTCCCATGTTTTGTTGACCTGATACAATTGTTTATCATCCAAAAATAGTTGGGAGCTCAGGTCTCTGCTGCTGTTTTGTACTATTCTGTGGGTCAAAAGCTGAAAAGTTTGGGAACCATTGGGGCTTGGGACCCAATTATGGGTCATGAAGCACCTTCGATAATCTGCAGACATCAATTTAAAGGGTAATAAAATGATTGCTGATGCAATATACAGTATTCCCTATAATTATTACAAAAACACAAAATAACTATAAATAAGTATTTATATTAGTGTACAAGCTGTTTAGATTGTCAAAAAGCCTGTGTTTTTAGGGTTATTAACAAAGTTCATGTACTCAGGCCAGTAATATTTGGGGTCACAAGTTTTTGCCATGGATATTTTGTGGGTCAGAAGATGAAAAGTTTGGGAACCATTGGGGCTTGGGACCCAATTATGGGTCATGAAGCACC